TTGTGTGTGGGGGGGAGAGGGGGCAAATGTAGGGCCCCACCCCATAAGTCCCTATACTTATGTATGTGTGTGTACCCTGGCATGGCTTCTCTCTGACCAGCCAGCTCACACTGGTTGTAGGGGGCCTGGCCGTGATGGGTGGTTGTGCTGGTTATGCCACCCTCTGCTGCAGGCAGTGGCCTTGCTGTGGGTTTGCCCAGCTGGAACTGAGGTCAGAGTTTGACCTATGGGTGGATGATCAGTGACTCCACCCATCTGACAGGGGGTTGGCATAGGTGGATATGACAGCTAACGCAAGGCAGTGGCCTCAAGACACTGTTTCCCAGCTCTGCCACTCACTCACCGTGTTACCTTGGTTGGGTCACTCATCTCTGCGGGAAGGGGCTGAGAACCGGGGGTGGGGTGAGACCAGGCTGGGGTTGCGGAGAGACCCTGGGAGGAAGGAGCGATGCTGCTCTTCCTCCTGGCCTGGGGCCTGTGTCAGGGAGGAAGGGGGAAGCCAAAGTCCATGACCTGCCCAGCCCTGTCTGGCTGTGCTGCTGGGGCGGCAGAAACGCCTTTGCTTGGCGCAAGCCGCGAGGAGGTAACTTGAGCATCCAGCATACGCACGCTCTGGCTTGCGTAAGGCTTTACACAGCGGTGTCGGGAGCTTTCCCTGCTGGGGATGCAGGGGCCTTGCGGAGGGGCACAGGAGAGGACCTTGTGGCTGCAGGTAGTTTACCTGGGGCTGGGGGAAGACTGGAAGCCCCTTTATTTCCCTGCTGAATCCCATTAATTTCTTTCCTGCCTGGCCTTCCTGGAATTCCCAACTGGGCAAGTTTTAACTGGGTCCCTCCCCCTCTGTCATAAGGGCTAAGGCTGCAGGATAAGGTGGGCTACAGGCTGATGCCAGCTGGGCCGTGTGGTCCAGCAGCAGGCCTGGCCTTTGGGGCTGGGGCGGGGGGGAGGGATGACACGTTTGTAGGTCTGGGAAGGGGGTATAAAGAGCCACTCAGAGCATTAGCTTCTGCGGGTGTCGGGGAGGGGAGGTGCTGCTCAAGAATGAGGTCACGGCCATTCAGTGCCTGCGCCCGCCTCCGAGAGCAGTGTGCTCTGCGCCGGTCCCATCCTGTGTTCCCTGCTGGATGTATCTTCTCCAGGGATGCCTGTTGGGGGTTGGAGATTGCTGGGGTGGCAGTGGGCTGCGGAGCTGGGCAAAGAGATGAGGGATCCTCCCCATCTGGGTTGCTCCAGTGTATAGCAGAGAGGAGGGGCCAGATGTGGGTCAGAAGGGGGAGCCCGGGCAGCCTTCCTTTCAGGGAAGAGAGCCTCACAAATGGGCCCGGTGTAGGGGCCAGGCCAGGAAGCTGAGGCCCAGCTGGCTCTGTCTAGCCCTCTGGGAAGCCCCCGTGTGACCACCCCTGTGCAGGATCCTAACCTCTAGAGTCTTGGGCACAGCCTGGTGAGAAGGCTCTAAGCTTCAGTCGTGCTGGAAGAGCATAACAAGTGGAGTTCCGTTATTGAACAGAACCGGTCCCAAATCCTCATCAAAGATTTAGATATGGGCATAGAGGTACACTGATTAAGTTTGCAGATGGTCCCAAGCTGGGAGGGGTTGCAACTGCCTTGAAGGATAAGGTCATAATTAAAATGATCTGGAGAAATGGTCCGAGGTAAAGAGGATGAAGTTTAATAAGGACAAATGCAAAATACTCCACTTAGGAAGGAACAATCAGTTTCACGCATACAGGATGGGAAGTGATTGTCTAGGAAGGACAAAAGGGATCTAGGGGTCACAGTGGACCCCAAGCTAAATGAGTCACCAGTGGGACACTTGCAAAAAAAGCAAACATGATCCTGGGATGCATTAGCAGGAGTGTTGTGAGCAAGACATGAAAAGTCGTTCTTCTGCTCTACTCTACACTGATTAGGCCTCGGAGTATTGTCCTGTTCTGGGTACCACATTTCAGTAAAGATGTGGAGAAATTGGAGATGGTCCAAAGAAGAGCAACAAAAATGATTAAAGGTCTAGAAAACATGAGCTATGAGGGTAGAACTGTGCTTCTTTAGTTTAGAAAAGAGAAGGCCAATAGGGGACGTGGTAGTGGTTTTCAGGTATCTAAAAGGGTGTCACAGAGAGGAGGGGGGAAATTGTTCTCTTTGGCCTCTGAGGATAGGACAAGAAGCAATGGGCTTAAACTGCAGCATGGGAGGTTTAGGCTGGACATTAGGAAAAACTTCCCAACTGTCAGGGTGGTTAAACACTGGAATAAATTGCCTAGAGAGGTTGTGGAATCTCCATCATTGGAGAAACGTAAGAGCCGGTTAGACTGTCAAAGATCATCTGGTGCTTGGTCCTGCCGTGAGGGGACTGGACTTGGTGATCTCTTGTGGTTTCTTTCAGTTCTAGTAATCTGTGATTCTACGATCCTGTGGCAGTGAGTTCCGCAGGCTAAGTATTGTGTGATTAACAGATTTCCTTTGTATGTGTTGAGCTGCCCCTGCCCTTTAATTGCTGAATCCCTCTGTAAAAGGGAATCTGTGTAGGTCTAGGCAGCAGGGCCCACTGGGCCTCCCCCCTGCCTGCTAGTGGTGCTGGTTGGCTCCTTCCCAGCAACAAGAGAGAGGTCCAATGGTTCTTGGCTGGCTTCTAATGCAGACCTACTAGGAGGACTGTCCGAGTGGGTGTGACATCAGAGCCTTGAGCTAGGTGTGGCCTTTGAGGGGTTAACCCTGGGCCAGCGCCTAGAGAACCCTACATTTAAACCACCCAGACCTGCCGAATTGCCCATCCCCAGCCTGACACCAGCTCATGTCACGGCTGCCTGTCCCCAGAGGCATTTTCTTTGCCCAGGGATGCAGCACAGCAGTGGGGAGACCCGACCTGGGCTTGCTTCAGCAGCTGAGCTCTTAGCTGCCATTGGCCTCCATGTAATTGAGATTTAAACTCCTTTGCCCGTGTGCCAGGCTGTAGGAGGGACTGGGCTGCCAGTGGGACGTGCCGCTTCTGGAGCAGTTCTGGCTGTGCTGATGTGTAAGGAGTCTCCTCAACCACAAGGGCAGGGTCCAGAGCCCAGTGGGAAGCTGCCGGCGCTCTCCTGGACAGTCTGCGCCCCTATAGGGGGACAGGAGCGAGCAGGGTGGGAAGGGCAGTGAATGGTGCTGATGCAATGAAGCCAGTGGGTTCAGATTAACCTTTGCGCCCCGCCTGTCTGACACGCGCCGCAAGGGAGCAAAGGTCCGTGCGTTCTTAAAACGTAGCCGGCTTTGCTTGGACCTCGGAGTGCGGCTCAGCGCGGGTGAGCCATGTCCCACTTCTCTGGAGCTGCCTGCAGCTCTGTAAGGGGCTTGGCCGGCTTCCTTCCAGTCACTGCTATGGGCTTAGCGCTGGTGGTAGGCTGGATTGTCAGCCCTGGGCCCTCGCGTACATCAGAAGGTCCTGGGCAAGGCCCCTTCTCAGCCCCCCACAAGAGGCGGATGACTGAGTGGGGGTGTTCTGTGTGGCTGTCGCTCACTGAACTTATCTTGCGTCTGCTGCCAGGTGGTGGCTGCTTTCTGTCCTGCTTGGCATGGCCTGGCTTGGACCCGGCAAAGAGAAAGCGAGCAGCCAGCCTGGCTGCAGTGTCACCGTAACCCAGACCCCAGCAACACAAATACCTTTGTGGGCCGGGGCCAAATCCGCTCTATTTGTTCAGAGACTGATTCCTCCCGCTTGCCCTGAGAGTGACACCCCTCCCCCCGCTATGCCCTGCTCCCATTGCATCTGCAAAATCCGCCTAATGTGTGTTGCTGGGTGTTTCTGCCCTTCAGCTGCTCCCATCCTGGCTGGGGGGCTAATACAACAGCTCCCCACAGAGCCACGCTGGCTAGAACAGGAACCCAGCAGATGGGTCTGTGCCCACTGCAAGCTCTGCCCTGTCCCACACGGGCATCATGGCATCCCTGTGCCCCAGGCTGGCAGCTCTGGGTTGATCCTAGGGGAGGGTGTCTTTAAACTGGAGCCGCATGCATCCCACCCTTCTGCGCTGGGCAACATCTGCAGGGGCATCTCCTCCTCCATGGGGATGCTGGGCACATCTGGTTGGGAGCTTGGCAGGGTGCTGAGTCCCTCCCCTGGATTTCTGGACATCGATCTGGAGGGCACTGATTGTGGGTCCCCTGGTTTTCTCCAGCTGGGGTTGGCAGTGTTAGGAGCAGAGAATTCCTGCCTGAGACATTAACCCCTCACCATCCATGGGCATGGCAAAGTGACTGGTTTGCCCCAGGACAGTGCCCACTGCTAAACCTGTAAAGGCCTGCAGGCCTCAGGGCTTCCTGTTTCCAGCTGGGATGGGGTCAGGCAGAAATGGGCATAGAAACTGCCCCCTCCCCCAGAGCAAGGCTGGGTATCGTGTGGTGGGCAGGCCAGGGGCTTGGAGAGCAGAAAATGTGTGTGGGGGGAAGGGGGAGGAACTGGGGGGTGAGGAGAATCCATCTGCCTGGGTGGCCTCTGACCCATGTGTCTCCCTACAGATCTGCACACTGCTCTTCGCCAGCCTCTACATCCTCTGCCACTTCATCATAACCTGCTTCAAGAAGCACACGGACTTTGCCACAGGTAACGGACTGGGCCCTGCTTCAGGGCGAGGGCGTGGTCCGGAGCCCAGCCGGGGTCTGCCAGTGCCCTCCCAGCCCTGCCCACCCCCACACCTGAACCCCTGGGAGCTGGCAGGCCCCATGAACTCCAGCTTTCAGCCACAAAAGCTTCCCTCCCCCAAACTCCTAGCCTTCCAGCAGCCCCCGCCACGTCACTCCCCTCACTCCCGACTACCCGAGCCAGGAGCTGAAGCTCCTGCGGCAGCTTTGCTGTGTGTCTATTTGGCCCACCCCAGGGGAGACCCCATCCTGCTTGGGAGGGCCCCTCTTGGTTTGTTTACATGGCTGCTGTGTTGCAGTTGCCATGGGCAACCCCCCCCATCCCTGGGAGCTGGGCTGGGAGACCAGCCTCTCCGAAGTGTTGCCTGGTTCTGTCGCTAGGCACGGTGTCATCACCACGGTTTCCTCCCGGGGCTCTGCAGCGAGCCCAGAGCCGGGTGTCAATGGGGCTGGTGGGAGATGTGGGGAGATGAGAACTGAAACCCCAGGCAGGGCCTATGGCAGGAGAGGCATCCTTGTAGTCCAGGAGGAGGTGTCTCACCCCTCCTGTCCTGTCCCTGGCGTTCCCCTCACGGTGCTGGGGGCTGCATGGGATGTAGCTGGTCTACCCAGCATCCTGTGAACTAAGGTGGGCAAGACCCAAGAGGGGGTCTGGGCACAGAACAGGGTGTGGCCAGAAATGAGGAGAGGGATACTGGTGAGAGCCCAGGAAGGGAAAACCCTCTGCCCCATAGCACCCTGCATCTGCACCATAGCACCCTCCTCTCCACAGGGGGCATCAGCAGTGAGGCTGGCACCAGCGTCTTCTGGTCTGTGGCTGCATCAGTAGCCTTGGCCATTCCTGGTGCGTTGGGGCGGGGGCCGTGTTCCCTGCCAATGGGCCCCTTGCATGCAATTCCCCTGGGGGTTCTGTGGATCGGTGGATCTGCCCCCACCCCCCGCTTTCCCATTGTCTCCTGTGCTGAGGCCAGGTCTTGGCTCCTGCTGTGCCCTACTGGCTTGGGGACCTGTCTCTCCCAGGGATTCACCAAGGGCCTGCTGGCATGGCCATATCTATGCCCTACCAGATTCACAGCCCTGCAGAACATGTGAAATCTGGCCTTCAGCACAGGGTAAAAGCAGATGTACAGAGTTCCCAGGGGAGACCAGGGTTTCTCAAATCGGGGACCCAAAAGAGTTGCAGGGGTCACAAGGTTATTTTAGAAGGGCCACGGTGTTGCCACCCTTACTGCTGTGCTGCCTTCAGAACTGGAGAGCGGTGGTGACAATAGAGCCGGGTGCCCAGGTCTGAAGGCAGCACCCTGCCAGCAGCAGCGCAGAAGTAAGGGTGGCAGAACCATACCCATGTCTCCCTTACTCCTATACTGCTGCCTTCAGAGCTGGGCCACCAGAGTGGTGACTAAGGACCAGCTCTGCAGGCAGCAGCACAGGAGTAAGAGGGCGACACCGTACCAGGTGATCCTTACTGCTTTGTTGCTGCTGGTGGTAGCTCTGGCTTCAGAGCTGGGCTCCCAGCCAGCAGCTGCTGCTCTCCAGCTGCCCAGCTCTGAAGGCAGCACCATGGCCAGCAGCAGTGCAGGAGGAAGGGTAGCTGTACCGCAACACCCCCCCCCTCCCCAACTCCTTTTTGGGCCAGGATCCTACAATTACAGGACCATGACATTTCAGATTTAAATATCTGAAATCATGAGATTTTAACATTTTAAAATCCTGTGGCCATGAAATTAACCAAAATGGACCATGAATTTGGTAGGGCCCTACCTATCAATAAATGACTTAGCTCAGAGTCCCTCCTGCCCCATGCACATGTTGACAACCTGGTTCTTCTGGCTACCTGCTGACCTACCCTACCCAACTCTTCTCCTTTCCCCGCCCATAAGCCAAGGTGAGTGACTCAGGGCCCAAGCATCTGGTCTGCAATCCAGAGACACCCCCACCACTGGGTTCCTATCCCAGCTGGGCTGGTGCAGCAGCTCAGGCTGGTGGGAAGGAGGTTCAGAGAGTCCTGTCCCCTTCCCCCCCAGCCAGTGCCAGACCGAGCCATATTTGCGCTGCGAGCACGTGGCTCATGCGCAGCCCGCCCCCAGGTGCATGGCGCCTGATTGACATGGTAAGGGGTGCCGCGACCCCTCCCCCAGGCGCCAACCTATGGAGGGGCACCTGATTGAAGTGGTAAGGGGTGTCGTGTGCCTGGGTGCAAGGCGTATGTGTAGCCCTGCCCCCAGGCATGCTCCCCCCCATAGGTTGGCATCCTGGGCAGCTGCCCAGCTAGCCACCACCACCACCCTTAATCCGGCCCTGCCCCCAGCCCTGTCTACACCTTTCCAACTGGTCCCTTTCCCAATTGAGTGAAAGTCCTGTCTGGCAGCCCCCTGCATCTGAATGGGAGTGGGGCCTAGCTGGGGGAGGGGGAAGTCCCCTGGGTGGGAGGTCTGCTCTGGGGGTCCTTGCCCTTGCAGTGACCCAGCTGAGAGCTCGACTCCCAGCCCGTTCTCCGCAGCCTAGGTGCGGTATGGATGGGGGTCAGCGTGGAAGAGGTTCAGTTGTGCTTCCTCTGAGCGGATCCTGCCGCTGGGGAAGGGCAGGACCCAAGCTCCTGGCCGGGGGGCGAAGATGCCAGGACCCATAAGTCCGTGTCTTGAGCCCGACTTGCTGACCAAATGTGAATCCTGGCGGTGTGAGTGGGCGGGACAGTGCTGTGGGTTGTTCATCAGAGGCCGTGTCCTGCCCCAGAGGTGGCTGCTTTTCAGGGTGGGGGCAGCAACCCCTTACCTGCAGTGTACTGGAGATGTGGGGCTTAACTGGTATCTCTAAGGGGCTTTGGCACCTTTGAATGAGAGGCGGGGGACTGGCAGTGGTTGGGGGTGGGTGGCTGAGACTGCCCGTGTGTCCCTAGAGCCCTCCTTCCCCACCACATCGTCCTCAATGCCCTTCCCCCTCCTCTGCGCTCACTGGCTTTTTCCACTGGCGTTGCTACCCCTGAATCGCTTTCCATCCTCAGCCGGGGTCTCTGGGTGCCGTGTGGGACTGGCTGGCCCGGGGACTCCTGTGCTGATATAAACAGCTGGCGGGGGTGAGCTGCTGCAGGGAGGGGGTGACGGTGCCCGGCTTTTGCCCTGATGTGCTGAGATCTGCCCGCATGGACACGCCCTTGGAAATGCAGAGCGGGGCCCAGGGCTGGAGCAGGCTGGAGACACGCCGAGGGTGGCGAACGGAGGGGACAGTCAGACAAGGAAATGCAGCCTCCCGGTTCCCTGCCCTGCGCTCTGGCCGTGCCCCAGGCTGCCTTTGTGGGGTTCTTTGTGCAGCATTTCCTTAGGTCTCCTTGCTGCCCGGTGAGCGGTGCTGGGGTGGAAACATCCTTCCAGGCTCCGAGTTGGGAGCAGGCTGGAGACACGCCGAGGGTGGCGAACGGAGGGGACAGTCAGACAAGGAAATGCAGCCTCCCGGTTCCCTGCCCTGCGCTCTGGCCGTGCCCCAGGCTGCCTTTGTGGGGTTCTTTGTGCAGCATTTCCTTAGGTCTCCTTGCTGCCCGGTGAGCGGTGCTGGGGTGGAAACATCCTTCCAGGCTCCGAGTTGCCTGCAGCAGGGAGGGCTCCCAGGGTGGAAGGAACAGCTGGGGATGGGGGG